TTCAACAAATACTTAGTGAAAGCTTAGGAATACCTAGGCTCATCCTCAGAACTGTTACTGTTTCTGTCTTTAAGGATATGACAGTCTGATAGAGGAGACAATTAAATAAGACATTTCAAAACAGTATAATTAAGTTCTATGATGCAGGAAATACGGGAGTGTTAGGGGGCTCATAACAGGAATACCCACCCAATCCAGGGGTGATGCAGTTTAGGTACAGTTTCTAGAGAAAGTAGGGTCTTGGCTAGGATGTGAGGGATGATGAAGACTGAGACAGAACCCATGCAACACAGAAGGGTGCTGCACTTAATGCTAGGTCCCACATTTTCTAGTAGTTTTTGTCAAAGAAACAGGCTTTGAATGCTTGTTAACTTATACAAAATACAGTTAATATAGGTAAATGAGAATGTTGTTATAAGTATTCAAGACCCCAAAGAAGAATGAGAAGTGGAAATTCACAGTGTAGAAGTGGTGGAAGAGGCCATTCAGCTGCTGCCAATAGCCTGTTTCATTGTGGAGAGTATGCAGCAAGTTCTGTTCTCCCTTTCCTCGGTAGGTGGCCACCATCTAAATCTCTGTAGCTGTCCCATATGGGCCTGTGCAGAGCTCACCATTGAAGTCTCTGGTTTATCACCACATTGTGAGCCACAGCTGTTGACTTGGTTGACGAACTCAGAGTTAACATGATACAGTGTTGACTCAAGCCAACCAAACTTCCCCAACTCAACCATAGATAGGAACAATTACTCCAACCTCTGAGTCTCTGAAAAAGGGATGTATGTACTCCATACATACTTCTGTCAAAGCACTTATAGCCCTTTTTCAATTTGTTTATATGCTTGTTTCCTATGAAGTCAGCTCCTTAGGGGTGAGAGCCTTGTCTTGGTAATCTTTGTCCTCGGTACTTTGCACGGGGCATGAAACACAATAGGCATTTAATAAACATTTATTGACTGAATCACTGAGGGGATCCTCTTCCAGTACAGAAAACTACTTGCCGGGCAGACCCGGTGGCGCAGCGGTTTAGCGCCTCTTGCAGCCCAGGGTGTGATCCCGGAGACCCGGGATAAAGTTCTGCGTCAGGCTCCCTGCATGGAGCCTGCTTCTCCCTCTGCCTGTGTCTCTGCCTCTCTCTCTCTCTCTCTCTGTGTGTGTCTCTATGAAAAAATAAAATCTTTAAAAAAAAAAAAAAGAAAGAAAACTACTTGCCATATAACAGTTCAGATCTTTGTCTACTTGCTCTGTCTTAGTCTGCTTGGGCAGCTCTAACAAAGTACCATAAACTAAGTGACTTAAACACAGACATTTTTTTCTCATAGTTCTGAAGGATGGAAGGCCAACATGAGGGTACTAGCATAATCAGGTTCTGATAAGGGCTCTCTTCCTAGTTTTCTTTGGCCTCCTTGTTATGTCCTCACATAGTAGGGAAAGAGATGAGAATGGGGTCCAGGGTGGTGGTGCAGTGTATGTAAATTCTCTGGTATCTTTTCTTACAAAGACACTAATCCCATCATGAGGGCCTCACCCTCATGACCTCATCTAAACCTAATTACCTCCAAAGGCCCCATCTCCACATAAGATCACATTGGGGATTAGGGCTTCAACATATGAATTTGGGGGAAAACAGTTCACAGCAAGAATGTCACACTACTAAGGACACTGCTAAAAAAAATCACTATAAGCACTTGTTCTACAGTGTCCTTTTTTTCCTATGGTCAGTGCCATCCATCTCTCCCTGTGAGGATTTTATTTTATTTTATCTTATTTTATTTTATTTTGGCAAGCTGATGAGATTTCAGCTCTAAGTTATTTTCACATTCCAATATTTTTTTCTCTGGTATTTACTCCAAATAACCTTGTTTGGACTCGGGTGTCCTTAAAGTTTCCTCAGCCACACATTTGCAAATGATCTCATCCTTTCCATTCTTTAAAAATAGTATTATTTTTTCCTGATTGCAAAAATAAGACATTTTCATTGCAGAAAATTTAGAACACAAAAAAGTACAAGGAACAAAACTGAAACTTCTCTTAATGTAACAACCATTTTATTTTGGTTCTTTTATATTTTGCTCTTGCAGTTTTAGGGGATGTCTTATTTTCAGAAAGATACATCATCCACTGAATTAGGTGAAAGGCAACATAAATACTTTGTATTTGACTTCTGTGAAGATACACATATTGAAGTACTTTTGTTGTATATAAAGAATACCGAGCCTTCCAAATAATCATTTCATTCACCTGGTAATAAAACAGACAAATCCTTGCCTTCATGGAGCTTATGTTTTAAAATCCATTTAGTCACTCACTCAAAATGCACTTATAATATGCTTACTGTGTGCCAGCCATTATGCTCAATGCTGAGGAATACAGTGATAACCAAGATGTTTGAGGGCTCTGTTTAATGGAATTTGAATTCTAGTGGGAAACTGAGACTGTGAAGAATACAGATATGAATGAAATATGATACTTGCCTTCAAGAGTCTTAAATGGAAACAAGGTATGTACAAACAGCTGTAATCCAAATGAATGATTCAAAAGTGTTCTAAGTGAGCAAAATTTCCTGAAGGAGGCAAAACTTGAATTGGACCTTCAATTTGAATTGATGGATTAATATTAGAGAGTAAGGTGAAAAAGGAAGCAACTAGATCGAGGGCGGGCATATTAGAAAAGTTTGAAATAGAAAAGCCTGGAATATAGTAAATAATTGGCACTTAAGGATGATAAAGAGAATTAGTGACAGGACTGGAAAAGAAAATTGGCAGTTAAATTGTACCAAGTAGATCATTGACCACATTTCTATTTTTATTACTAGCATTAGCAATTTATTGCTTCCGAAAGTACAGAATCATTTATATAGAGGATTTTTTAAGCTATTTCATCATGTCAAACTTAGTGAAAAATGCTGTCATTAGTAAGGTTCTCATTCATCAAAAGTGTTTTGCTTTCAGTTAAATGGTTGCAAATAGAATCAACTTAATAATTTTTAAGTTACTATTGAGTTTTTATAAGAAACGACATTGATGTTTTTTAAACCCTTATTAAATTTTCACCACTGTTATCTTTAAATAAAGGACATTTTTGAAATGTTTCAGAATGTTCTATTTCTGTATGAATAATTTAATGTGGTTCTTTGTAACAGGTGAGAATTGTTTTGCACTATTTTAGGAGCAAGTAATACAGGTTTTAGTTGATGAACCCAAATTAAATCTGCCTTGAGCCTTCTGTTCTGATGAGAATTCCCAAACACCACTTGTTGATGTGCCCTAAAGCACTAAACTATCCAGTAGTTTCTTGCATCTGGAGCACAGAGCAGTGTGCTGGAGGCCATCAGACTCCTCTCAAAAGCCTTCCTTCCCAGTTCTACCATTTGTACTGACACCAGTACCCTGCTTTTCCCTTCTCTACCATGAGAACAAAGCATTTCCCTAACTCTATAATCACAAAAAATCTTGTCTACTCTCCTAAAACAAGGAAGAAAATGACTTCCAATCCTTGTTGAGATGCCTATACCATGCTGAAGATGAAGGAGAATTTTTGTATTTGATCACCCAAGAAAGAGTTGTAACTTAAGTCAGATTTTAAAGGACAAATAAGAAAAGGTGAAAGAGAACGCTTAAAAAAAAAAGATTTTATTTATCTATTCATGAGAGACACAGAGAAGAGAGAGAAACCGAGACATAGGCAGAAGGAGAAGCAGACTCCCGGTAGGGAGCCTGATGCAGGACTCAACCCCAGGATCACACCCTGAGCCAAAGGCAGAGAACACTTTTGATAGAATAACTTTAGGGGCTCCTGGGAGGCTCAATCCATTATATGACCTGCTCTTGATTTCAGTTGAGGTCATGATCTCAAGGTCATGGGAATCAAGCTCCTCCTAGGGCTCCTGCTGGGCCTGGAGCCTGCTTTGGGACTCTCTCTCCCTCTCCCTCTGGCACACTTCCATTCCCTCTCACATGTGCTCTCCCCTCCCCCCCAAAAAAAGGAAGAAGAAGAAGTACTTTAAAAAAAAGGTAGGCAAAAAAGGGATAGAGTGTGGGGAGTTGAAGTTTGTAGTATCAGGAGCAAAGTTAGAAAAAAGCAGTTTGTTTTTATAAACAGTTTGGACTCTCTCCAATAACTGGTTTTCCTCTTTTAGGACACTTGGAGATTCCATTAGAGGAGGCTTAGGACTAAGAACCCATAGCTTCTAGGAGCCCCCACCCTCAACTGGAGTAGCTCTGCTTTCATTTAATATGAAGGTCTCTCCACATAAGATTTTATGTGGAGGAAAAAAAAGGGGGGGGTATAAGTATAATCCGTTTTATACTAACAGGACAGTGAGTATTTGCTTTGTACAAGCCCTGTTCCAGACACTTGTATCAATTAATTTTTCTCACACCACCACCAACCACATCCTTTGCAAAAGAGAAAACTGAAGCCCAGAGAGCCTATTATGTATTTGTCTGTCGTTCCATATCTATAAAGTGGCAGTGCTGAAATTTGAGCCCAGACAGTCTTAATTAACCCCAGGGACTATTCTCTTTTACAATTGCACTATATTTAAGCTGACTTAAGGGGAAACATGATGCGAGTTGTGACGAGTCACTTCTGGCACGTGCAGCCCCTGGCGGTGCTTTTTGGCTGAAGGGCCCTGTGATGTCAACTCTGTCCCTGGACTTTGACAACCCAACAGGTCAATGTTGACAAAAGACGTGAAAAGGAAAAAGTCGAACAGACGGAAAGCACACCAGTCGGTCCCGGTCCCGGGGAACCCCCAATCCCTCCCCTCCGCAGGCCAGAGCGCCCCCCAGGGCACTTACAGGCGCCGGCGCCACTAGCCCCGCCCCCGCCGCCAGGCCCCGCCCCCGCTGTCGGCCCCGCCCACGCTGTCGGGCCCCGCTCCCGCCGCCAGGCCCCGCCCACGCCGTCAGCCCCGCCCAGGCCCCGCCCACGCCGCCAGGCCCCGCCCGCGCTGTCAGCCCCGCCCAGGCCCCGCCCCGCCGCCCTGACCGGAGCCTGGTCCCCGCCGCTGTCCTCCACGCGGCGCGGCGCGTGGTCCACGCGGCGGTTGCTGGGCGGCGGGGCCACTCCCGGGGGAGCGAGGGATGCTGAAGGAATTGTAGGTACGGTCCATTTTTCTCAACTTTCTCCCTTTCCAGGCCCTTGGGCACTCCTGGCCCCTCGCCTCGCGCAGTCCTTGCCTTCCTGTAGGCTCAAGGAACCCCTTTCCTCCTGCTTCGGGAGCGTACGGGGGCTCCTTTGCCAGCGGCTGGGGAAACAGCCACACACCTTCTTCCCTCCTCCCCCTGACTCGTTTCTTTGCTTCCTCACCCCACATCTCTTCTTTATTTTTCCTTTATTTTCCTTCCTCCTCTGTTTTTCTCACTTTACAGGTAACTCGCAAGTAAGAAAAAAGAGGTCCGTCGCTCAAGACTGACCGCAAAATTAGTTTTATTAAAAGCACACCGTTGTACAAATCGTGAATATCTGCACATGAACCTTCACGTGCTCCTGGGGCTGGAGGTGTGTTCCAGGACTAGTTGCTTATCCCGGGAAGGCTTTCCTCCCAACCTACCCACCTCTCAGATCCTTCGTCCCCGGACGATTTCTGTTAGCTTTATCACAAAGCGAAAGCCTTTTCGATCAGTGCTTTTGAAGGATTAAGGATGGTTATTGCACAGGTACCATGTGTCCAGTACATCATTCAGGAGTCATAAGAGCTCTGCAGGCCCATATCAGGTCTCTGACACCCCTCTCTGTGTGCCTTAGGGCCTATGAAAAATTAGATGGTATGATAGAAAAGAGCAATTGACCTGAGTACTCCCTAATTTTCCTTAAGGGTAAATAGAGTGATTACTTGTGCAACAACACTGTGAAAAATTAACACTTGTTTCTATCACAGCTAAAGAATTCATGACCCCAAATGGTTTAGTCACTATGTGCCTGTGAAAAGGGCATTCATATTTATTGCCTTCTGTGAGCAACAGAATTTATATAGCGGTTTTTATCAGTTGGCTGTCTCTTGCCATGAGCTCCTGCCCATTACCAGACAAAAGGAAAGAGGCAAGCGCACTAACAGTACTATATAAATGACATGTATATGCTTCATCTCATTTTGAACATTATTTTCATACTCATCCTGTTTATACACTTATGTGAGTTGGAGTTGGTTAACAAAGCTCCATTTTACTGAGGAGAGAACTAGACATAAATTAAACGGTACCTGGAACTGTATATAATATGTATATTAGTATATACATTCAGTAAAGATTTGTTGAAGGGATGAATGGATGAGATCCTCAAGGAGCCATGCCTTCTTCGCCTTTGTATTGCCTGGATGCAGAGCTAAGTTTAGTACTAGTAAATTTGCAAATGTGAGAGAGGTCGAGTGACTCAGGAACAGACATGCAATAATGATCTTTAAGGAATCTACTGTCTTGCCTTTATTCTGAATACAATGGTAAGAAACAATGGCAAGATTCCTGTTCTCATGGAACTTAAAATTTAGTGAAAGAAGAAGATATGAACAGGGAAATTTTGAATAATGTTAAGTGTAGTGAAGAAGTAAGCAATATGACATAAGAGAGATACTGGGGAAGAAGTTGCTTTAGATTGATTGGTTAAGGAAGGGCTCTTTGAAGAGCTAACATTTGTGCTGAGACCTCAGTGATTTTAAAAAGCCAACCATAGAAATACTTAGGATCAGAGTATTGTAGTTAAAGGAAACTCCAATTGCAAAACTCCTACAGTAGGAAAGAACTTGGCTTTTTCAAGAAACACCATAAAGACTGCTATAGCTGGAATATGGATAAAGTGGTATAATATGACCTTGAAGAGATAGGTAGGGGCCAAATCATATAGGGCTTTGAACAAGTCATGGAGGAATTCATTTAAAATGTGATGGTAAACCAGCAGGGAGTTCTTCTGGAAAAGAGTAATATAATCTGATTGATTTACCCTGAAAAAAAAGATGTGTTCGGCCTATTGTATGGTTAATGGATCATAGGGATTGGGGAACAAGATTAGTAGCAGAAGACAACTGTGATCCAGGAAGGAATGACAATTGTTCAGGCTAAAGTGGTATAAAACTGGATAGATATGAGATTTTTTGGAGGCAGAACCTACAAACTTGATGATGTTACGAATATAGGGGTGAGAAAAAAGAAAAGCCCCTAGGTTTTTCTCTGGAATTTGAGTGAATGATTGTGCTATTTACCAAATGAAAAAGACTAAAAAAGAAAATGTGCATGCATATGTATTGGAGGGGGGGCTAAGTTCTGTGTAAGGAACCAAATATACAAAGTTGAGAATCATCAGCATGTAGAAAAAACTACTTGGAGAAAATGTATTTATAGAGTGCATTCCAATGATTAGAGAGAAAGCAGAGGAAAAGAAGCAAGCAAAGGAGTTGGAAAAGGAGTAGCCAGTGAGGTAGGAAGAAAACCGAAAGAGTGTGGTGACTTAAAAGCCAAGACAACAAAGCACAGCCAGTACTACTGAAACATGCTGAAAAGTCAAATAAAATAAAGAGATCTGACCATTGGATTTTGGCAACATGTAGTAGTTATGTGCCTTGACAAGCACAATGAGGAGAAAATGTAAGAAGAAATAGACATAGCACTATAGATATCTCAAAATATTTCATGAAGAAGAGCTGAAAAATGTTGGTAATAGAGGAATATGTGGGGTCAAAGTAGAATTCTCAAAGATGGAAATACTGAAGTGTATGTCTAGGTTAATGAAAATTATCCAGTAGAGAAGAGAAAAAGGTATAGTATGAGAGAATGTGTATATTTTAGGAGTCAAGTCTTTTAGAAAACAAAAGGGAATGGAATCCAGGTAATAGGTAGAAGTGTTGGCTCAAGAACATGAACATAAAATTTATAGTAATGAAAGACAGTGGTATAGATGCAGATAGATGAATAGATTCAGTGATTTCAGGAGAGAGTTTCTGCCTGAGACTGATTCTCTTTTTCTCAATAAACTAGAAGGTCTGAGGCAAGATCAGTAAGGAGAGAGAAGAAGAATGTTTGGGTAGGAGGCTTAAGGAGTGAAAAGAAGACATAAAACAGTCATTTTAGAGGGCAGAAGGCTGTCATACTTGTCTTAATCTGTTTAGGCTGCTATAGCAAAACAGAGGATAGGAGGAGAGAGGAAAAAATAAAACCAGATGAAATCAGAGAGAGAGATAAACCATAAGAGACCCTTAACCATAGGAAACAAACTGAAGATTGCTGGAGGGGGGGAGGATGGGGGGATTGGGTAACTGGATGATGGACATGAAGGAGGGCATGTGATGCCGTGAGCACTGGGTGTTCTATAAAACTGATGAATCACGACCTCTACCTCTGAAACCAGTAATACATTATATGTTAATAATTGAATTTTAAAAATTTATATACAATAAAATGAAAGTAATTTTTATTTTTTAAAAAATTTTATTTATTTATTTTTTTAAAATATTTTATTTATTAGAGACAGAGAGAGAGAGAAGCAAAGACACAGGCAGAGGGAGAAGCAGGCTCCATGCAGGGAGCCCGATGTGGGACTCGATCCTGGGTCTCCAGGATCATGCCCTGGGCTGAAGGCTGCGCCAAACCGCTAAGCCACCAGGGCTGCCTGAAAATATTTTTTTAAAATATGCTGCTATAATAGCTTATAAACAATTTTATTTCTCATAGTTCTAGAGGCTATGAAGTCCAAGGTCAAGAGAAAATAAAGCATAGCACAAAATGTAAAAGGCTACCTCAATGCTGTCTATTATTATCATTATATATTATTTTTATTATTAGAATAAATACAGATCAGGTCTCCCTATTATGATCATCTGACACCTCCAGCAACAGGATTTTCAAATTTCGTCCTTTATCTCCACTTTACCATTTAAGAGATAGGGTTTTGCAATTTAATAAACACATATTGATGGAAGTGGTTTAAAAAAAACACAAGGAAAACAAACCAAAAAATTTGACAAGCAAATATTAAAGGGATAAGAGATGGCAGATTCAGTGACTGGTGAGAGCCCTATTCCTGGCTCCCAGATAGCCAAAAGGGATTAGGGAGCTCTCAGGAACTCATATTAAGGTCACTAACCCCATTCATGAGGGCTTTGGCCTCCTGACCTAATCGTAAACCAGAGACCCCCACCTCCTAAAACAATCACATTAGGGGTTAGGATTTCAACATACTCATTTTGAGGGGACACAAATATTCAGTCTATAGCAATATTAGAGAAGTATAGTAGCATAGCTGGGCAGGATCAAGTGCCTGTTTGAGATTTGTGGCCTTGTGAGTGGGTAGTTGAGATAAGGTGGCAGAAAAGATCATTGGAGCCAATGAGCCATAAGACCAGACTGTTGGGAGGGTTGGCTACCTGTTTACTAGTTATTACTGGTAAATTTGTGGCTGAGTGAGTTCTTAAACCCAGATAGCCTGGCTTTCCAGCTCAACAGGTTACCATTTTACTAAGAAAGGAGTCACAGCAGTACTCTTTTGTGCCACCTACCTACCCTTCCAGTTGACATTAAAAAAAAATGTGGCTTGATTTTTTTTTTTATCCATATTTCCAATTCTAGATTTTCATAGACTGCTGCTTTTGTCTCTCTTATCCCTTTAATATTTGCTTGTTAAATTTTTTGGTTTGTTTTCCTTGTGGGTTTTTTTTTAACCACTTCCATCAATATGTGTTTATTAAATTGCAAAACCCTATCTCTTAAATGGTAAAATGGAGATAAAGGATGAAATTTGAAAATCCTGTTGCTGGTAGAGGTGGGATGATCATAATAGGGAGACCTGATCTGTATTTATTCTAATAATAATAAAATAATAATAATAATAATAATAATAATAGACAGCATTGGGGTAGCCTCTTACATTTTGTGCTATGCTCTATTTTCTCTCTCTTATTTAATTTTATACCTACCTTTTTCAGATGAGGAAACTGAGGCTCGGAGAGGTTAAGGGTCTTGACCAAGGAAGGACACATACCTAGTAAATGGCAGAATTATTAACCACAGTGTTCTGACAATAGGTCCCATATTTTTTACTGTAGTAGTTTGCCTCTTTGCTTTTTACACTCTATTATATCCAAAGTGATATCAAAAAAAAAAAAACTGCTAGATAG